GCGCTCTCTCTGTTCTTTTGTCTGAATCCCCTGGTGGCATTCAGGACAATTTTTAGCCCGCGTCCAGGGCAGGCGGGCGGTGAGTGTAAGATGACTGCATCAGCGGTCAGCTTCCTCTCCGTTGTGTTTTTTTTCTGAAATGTGTCGGCAGAGTTGACGCATCCACGCCGAGCTCTCCTGAATTTGTCGTACACGTCCTCTTACGGGATTCCCTGTCTGTGGGGAGCTCCCGTTTTGGGAGACTAGAGAGGAAAGTGAGCAATGATTAGCAACAAGGAACTGACAAACTGAAGGCCGGCCATTAGTGAGTCTGAAAGTCTGTAAGTCCTCATAGCTATCTCTAACCAGATCAAACCAAAAAACACTTTTTTTTAAATGTCTTTTTGCTTTAATTTGCTAAAGTTTTATTGTTATTTTGGGTCCAAACAAAAATGTCTGCCAGGCTAAAGGCGTTCTTGTGTGTTTGAGATTCCCCCCCGTCACCTGAACAGACTCGTTTGCCTTCGGACCAAATTAGAATTTTATCCCAAAAGATAATAAAGCATAAAAACTATAGATAAACAGAAAAAACTGTCGAAGCCAGTCAGTAGATGTGAGCAGTCCAAAATGGTTTAGACAGAACTAAACCTAAAGCCAAAAGCTATCGCATGGATGCTAAAATAACATTTGTAATGGCTTAAAACTAAAAATGGACAGACATGGCAACCCAAACAGAGCTGGCATAAGTAAGACTGACTCAGACAGCCAACCAGGCCAAAGACGGTCAAATAATCTTTGAAAAATCATTTTTTAAAAAGGCAACAATTACAAAAGCCGAGTAAAGAAATGCCCGCTTTAAAAAAGTATCAAATGGATTTTTAAAGAAGGGGACATTTGTTAAAGGGGCTTGTGTCCACCGAGTTGATTTCATGGCAGAAAAACACTCAGCTGCAGTGCAAAGATAAATGCGGACCATTGTCTGTTGTTTTTTTTGTTTCTTTCTGTCAATCTTTGAATCTTCCACAGAGCACCTGTCCTCACTTCCTTGTTCCAATGACTTCTGTTTGCTCCATCCATGAAAGATTGGCTGGGAACATCCTCTATCCGACAGGAAACCATCCTCTGTGAAATTCACACCACTCGTCCCCATTTTGGGAATCACCGGTAGGACTTCCTCAGAAAAATAAAAATGCATAAAAATATGGGCTAAATAAAGGGGAGAAGGGCCAGGGTGTCGTGACCCGGGTCAAGTGCTTTTGTTCTGTCATTGTGTGTCTGTGTGAACGAGTCTTTGTGAACGGGATGAATTTGTGAGAAGCTGCTATTGTTGGGCAGATTTGGACCGCAAAGCAGAGCTTTAACTTCCAAATTTCACTTTAATTTATTGTTGTTTAATATTCAACTTCTCTCATTTTGGATCAGGGAACTCTTAAGACTTCTCATGATGCTGCATATGGATTTAGAATAATAATTCATTGTTATTTTGTTGGTGAAGTCTGTGGGTTTGTCCATTTAAAATACAAAAGAGAATTAAGAGTAATTGGTTAACTTAGAAAGGAGTAAAACATTTGAAGAAATGGGATTGTTCTGTCGTATTTTTAGATAAATGTTTGTGTAAACCGAAGCGCGACAGCGTCTAGACACTGTTTGGTGTTTCTCCTTTTTTTCGGCAGGACCATCAGTCTGACGGCCGTCTCTCAGACAGGAAGAGCGCTTGTGTGTGTTGTTGGATTATGAACTTCAAACAAATATCAAACGCATCTCCTACTAAAACAGCAAATAACCCACTTCCAGTTCCACAGAAGCTTTTGTGGGCCTGCTCCGTCCTCCCGTACCGCTGGGAATACAGACACACTCAGGAGTTTTGCTTTTGGGGTCATTTTAAACGGGCTGTTTGTATGAAGATTTAGAAGTTTTTCAAATTCTGAAGGAAGAAGAGGTTCATAGTCATATTGGTTTTCGCCACCAGGGGTCAGATGTGCACAGGACTACATAGGGCTTTCAAATCAAGCCCCTAACTATAAAGATAACAGAATATATTATGAGTTGAGCACTTCAAAATATTATATTATCCATCCATCCATCCATTATCAATACCGCTTATTCCCTCTATTATATTATAATGTTAAATTATTTCTATTCTATTCTATTCTATTCTATTCTATTCTATTCTATTCTATTCTATTCTATTCTATTCTATTCTATACTATTACATTTTATTATATAAGTAAATGTTAACTTTTAATTTGTTCATAAATTGTTACATCATGTAACTGCACATATTTGGACATTAATTGCACTTCTCCACAAAGTAAAACATAATAATTTAGCTTTAAAGATGTGTTTAGACATAAATAGTTATTATGATGCTATCTAAAATAGAAAAAAAGAAGAAGCAAATCCAACACATTAAGAGAGAAGTTATTATTATATGATAGCTGATTATAACATAAAGCGAGGCCACTTTATTGATTTATTGTTTAATACATTTCTCTTACAACTGACAGATAAAATGTTAAAAATTTCAAAGTGTATCAGAAATCAGTGAATGGCTGAGTGACATGGACTCTGCTCTCCACAGGAGTGTGTTACTGTGTGTGTGTGTGTTAAATGAAGTCATTTAGAGGCTAAAGTGGTACGGACGCATGAGAGGTGGTTAAAACCACCCCTGACGTTCTGATTGGGGACTCCGGCCCCTGAGAACATGAGGGCTGAAGCCGTTAGCTGAAATGTTGGAGAGTTTGAAGCAGGATGGTTTCTGTGAGCGGCAGACAGATGCAGGTGAGTTAGTAATCCCCGACATAAGCACCGCCACGGTGACGCAGAGCCTGGTATTTAAAGCTTCAGCTAACACCTCCCGCCTTGTTTGTTTCTTGAGCTGCAAACATAGCTCCAAAACAAGAATTTCTTTTAGGTAAATTCACTCACACGAACCAGAGTGACATCATTTCTGTCCAGAAATCTGAAGCAGGAAAATGAACGTAAGCGTTAAACTGTATATGATGATATACTGTGAATGTGATCTTGTGTTTTAAGTGGTTTGAAGTTTTTTTTCGGTCTATAAATGTAAAAATGGCAACTGGAAGCCATCTGGATGCTCTGT